GGGGCCAGATGGGGTCCGGGCGCACAAGGGGAGCACTAGGAGTAGCACCTAAGGGGACCTGGAGGATGGCGGCGGAGGTGGGTGGACAGCAGCGCGGGAGCTCCTAGGATTCCGGGAGAGGAGGTGGCTGAGCCAGGGTCTGGGGGGTACGGGTGGGGCGACCTGCCTGACATGGGCTCTGGAGTCAGACTCCCAGGATTACATATTTGCTGCCTCCATTTATTGTCTCTTCCCCTGAGCCAGCCACTTACCCTCTCTGCGCCTCAGTTTCCTCACCTGTAAAATGGAATGATAATAGCACCATCCTCAAAGGGTTGCCCTGAGAATTGAATGAACTAATAACACACGAGAAGCTCTCGGTGTGGTGCCTTATACCGACTAGTCTTCAGTAACTATTGGCCCCTCCTCTTCCAGCCTTCTTTGCCTATTATTAGTATCCTGAGCTCCCTGAGGTGCAGCCTCACACTGCTTCCTTGCTCCTGAATCTGTCTCATGTTCCTCTCTGCAGCGTCTCCCCCCCCCCCATTAATCCCGTCCTGTAGCAATAGCACTGCCCCAAGAGAAAGACGGGAAGCAGGGATGTGAGTGAGGGGGTGATGCCCATCTCTGTCCTGCCTTAGAGTTGCCCATTACTCTGACAAGGGATGGAGGGCTTAGCCCCAGGGGTCTAAGCCTGTGGACTGTCTGCAGCCTGCAAACGGAGGAATGGCCTACTGACCCACACAGTTCCACAGGTACCTCTCCCCAGCCAGGGCAGCAGCCACTTAGCCTGAGAACCACGAAGTCTGATTCTGCCCTCTCTTACAGATTTGCAGAGACAATGAATGAGGGCTTGTCACCAGCAAGGTGTCTTGAGATGGTTGGTGTATGGCCCCTATCAAAGACTCCCATAATCCTTACTGGTACTGGGAGGAACAGACTTGACCCAAAGCTTGTATTAAAAGAGGGATTTAAAGTGAGAGGCAGGCTTGTGTAAGGGGAATCTTTTGCCTTAGAGAAATTTCTAGGGGTCATCAAGGTGTTTACTTAATAGAGGGATTTCAGACAGATTGCTAGGTAAGTTCTGCCCTAAAGGGAGACAGATGGTTCTCCATCACTGAGAGTGTCTAAGGGGCTCGAAACCTCAGTGGCCTGGCCTTGGAGCGTCTCCCTGGCTTCAGTCCTGTAATGAGAGGAACAGGCCTTACTTGATGGGCTGCCTCAGCTCCAGATCACCACGTGTGTCCCTGGTACTTAGTATTTCCTACAGCCTTCCTCACTGGGAGTGTGACACCTCGGGTCTCAGCAACACATTCCCCAACTGAGATGCACTTTAACTGTGAGGGTCTGCTTTGCCTCTTGGTTTGCTGCCTGTTGCAGGGATTCAGTTTCGACTCTATGGGGCTAGAGACGCAGGGCAGCTCCCCGTGGGGTTCTGGCATGCCCTTCAACGTAGTCTCCAGGGAACGGTCATTTCTCTGTGTCTCCTGCCCCAGGAAGGGAGTGAGAAGGGAGGCAGTGCTCTAGGGGGACAGAGGCCATGGAGGAGGGCCCTGTCCCTCAGCCTCAAGTCAATGAGTTTTTATGAGGGTGGGGAGGAAGTTGGGGAGAATCTCGGAGACCTTGGGGGCTGGTGACAGAAGCCTCAGGGCCACGAGGCTGAGAGCTGAGGAATTGCCAGGGCTGTGTAGGGGTGGGGAAGCTGAGCTGTGGGCCAGCATCTGAAAGGACCACCGGACCCCAGGAAAGGGACCCTACCTGCCAGTGCCCTGTAGACTGCGTGGTTCCCGGGACTGTTTACCGCCTTCTTCCTTTGGCTCTCTCAGTGCAGGGGTCCTTGGAAGTCAACGCGGTAGCCTAACATCTTTTCCCATCTACTCCGAAGCCCAGCCGCTGGCCTAAGCACCCCCCTCACGGCCCCGCCAGTCTGGGGCCACTGTCTGCAAGGAACCACCTGCCCTGGGGACCGTACGCGCTCCAGTGCGTCTGTGTGTGCCTACTTGGCATCCGAGGACGCTCCCGCTCTCAAGTGGTGGCCCAGATTCCTGGCTGAGCTCGAGGTTTAGGCGAGTGGCTCCCGGGAGGGCCCGGAGGCTGGCTGGATCTGGGCCCTCCTTCCTTGGAGGCCCAGGTCTAGCCTGACTGGCGGCTGGACACGCGCCGAGAGCTTGGGTCTGGGGGTTGGAGGGGGAGACTTGATTTACTTCCTTTCAACAACTGCCCCTCTGTGCATATGCCACGCACACCCGGGGCCCGCGCCCGCACATGCCAAGCCTCGAGATGGATGAAGGAAGCTGAGACTACCACCAGCAACACCCACCCCCGCCGCCGCCCCGGCCCCAGGCAGCCCGAGGGGTTCTCTGTTTGTGTCTGCGGCTAGAGCAGGACCCAGTTTTGAATTCTTAACAAATTTCGTTTCAAATGGGATTTCAAAGTGAAAGCTATTGGATCCCTCCCTACCCTCTTCTTGGATTCGTGTGGAGCAACTCGGGCCCCTATTCCCTTTCTCCCTGCTCTGCAACCGCTCGGCCTCCTCCCAGCCTTTGGTAAAAAGCGAAGCCGGTACGAGGCCTACAGCCTCCCTGGGCGCCGGCTGTCTAGGCCAGCAGCCCGACGGAGCCTGCTGGAGGCCCCGGAGGTGCCTGCTCCCTAATTAGGGGATGGAGCCACTCTCACTCCTGGGCGAGTGGAGTCCTCTGGGCCTGGCTCAGGGGCGACCTCAAGGAAACCTTCTCCGTCCCTGGCAGGTGCCCTAGGCGCAGGAACCTTCTGCAGGTGGTCACGAAAGGCGCCTTCGGTGAGAGGGCCCAGGGCCGGGGTGGCCACCCACTGTGTCTGCCCTTCGCTGCTTTCAAGGGCGCACGTTCTCCCGTAAGACCAAGGGCTGAAAGACTGCAACATGGTCTTTCGTCTTTCTTGATGGGAAAGACTGAAGCTTTTTTTTTTTTAACGTTTTACCCAGAATCTCTCTTGAGAGCCTCGTCCTGAATTTATACTGCAATTTTGAAAACAGAGGTGACCCCGGGGAAGACCACGAGGCCAGAGCACTGTTCCAGTCTTGCTCGCCGTCAGCTGTTCCCAGCACCTGACATTCTGCAGTTCAAGGCCTGGGTGGGCGCCGGCGGAGAGTCGTGCATAGCGCCAGGAAGGGAGCGAAGGGTTAGTGGATCCCAAGCCAAACGCTCCCGCGGCACTTAGCCCCGACGGCCAAGGCGCTGCAGGTTCGGGGCCCCACAGGGCTGGTCCGCAGCTGAAGCCTAGCGAAGCCGGGGAGCAGATGAGGGTGGGCGACCGCCTCTGAGCAGAGAGAAAATAAAGTCGCGACAGGGCAGGGAGGCTGAGTGCCGGGAACCCCAGCCAAAGGCAGGGGCCTCACCCCGAGGCTCAAAGTTCCCCGGGCAGAAAAGGAAATTTTCATTTTCAATTAACATAATCCTTAACAGAAGGGAAAAGGAGTTCCGGATTAGGCAGCAGAAAATAAAAATAAAAACAAGTGATTTGTGAGAAGCATCCTAAGGATGTGCCCAGAGAGTGTTTTAAAGAGTTATGTGAGTATGTTTGTTAGGGGAGAGAATAGTCAAACGACCCTCTTCTATTTCTCTAGGGAGAAATCAGCAAAATGGTCCCCAAATCTGGCCCCAAGTGACTGAGTCTTGCCCCCCTTCCTGGGGAGCTTCGCTGCAAATCTTACCACCCACAAGGCTGGAAAACACCCAACTTACTTTGAATTTTATTTAAAATCTCAACACTCAATCATTTATTTCATTTTTGCAACCAAACAAGTAATAAATATTATTTAGCACTTTTTTCTTTTTACAAAAATAAAACAGATGATACACTCTCTGCAAGGGGCAGCAATCAGAGGAGGGATGTTATGTGGCAGACGCTGTGAATCTCATATTGCAACTCTGGTAGCGCCCAGGCGGTTTGTGGGGAGGCAGGAAGCACGTGGAGGAGTTTGTCATTTATGTTAAATGTGGCAGAAAGAAACCAATATATAGAAGACGCGGTTTACAATCCGGAGGGGCTGGCAGTCACGTGAGCAAACAGCTTAGCAGCACGCACTTACCTCATTATCAACATTGTATTTACACATCCAAGAAAGAAAAAATTAAGGAGCCAACTGAACTGACAAATAACCAAAACTATATTCACAGCAAAATCCTTCGAGTTCTGTCAAACCCCAGGTATCAAAATGACTGCCCCCAATCAGGTAAGAAACCAACTCACTTTGTGCTCAAGAGACGGAAAGAATGCAGAGGAAGGGAGATTCTGTTGTAAAGTAACTAAAAATCACCCGTACCCAAAGTCGACAGTTTTAGATTACTCCAATCCACAAGTGGTTCTATTCTGACTGTCTATAAAGCTTGACTGTGCTGTTGAAAATGAAACATTGACAGTTTTATTAACACCCCCCCCAACCAATAGGAGCGACAGGGAGGAATGGCAACAGTTCTCAGACAGTTGTGGGTTTATCCAGATATGGAGATTGGACACGACCATAAGTGCTTCTGGTACCAAATACCAGCTTCGAACTAACTCGTAGGCCCTGGCCCTGGGCCACGGACCACCTTTGCGGTCAAGGCCAGACGGCCGCTTCTGGAGAGGGGCTCCCAAGAGTTTCCTACCTGCCAAGAAAGGAGGAAGGAGAGGGAGTCCCCAAAGCTCCCCCTCCATCACCTCCTCCTCCGTATAACGAAGTGCTGCCAGGGCCCAAGTTCTCAGGGAAACCAAAGTTTTTAGAATCATTTCTTTTTGGGAGGCAAGGGGAGGGGAGTTGGAGGAAGGGATGCTCGTAGAGGTGCCTTCGTATAAAGTGGTGGCTACCGGAGCAGCGCTGTTTAAAGCCAGAGAGGGTTGAACTAGGTCTCAGAGCAAATTTCCCTCTCACTCCCCACTGTTCAGTGCGCTCCACTGCTTCGGTCCCTGGGTGCTGGAGTCCTCACCACTGCCCCCACCCCCAGCCCACAGTGCTGCGCTCCCCCTCGGAACTGAGCTCCCAGGCCCCAGCGCCGGCCAGTCCTCGCTTCACCGCAGCCTCCGGGCCCCCAAACCCCGCTCGCCAGAACGCGCCGCACCAGCCAGCTCACTTGGCGTCGGAGGTGAGGCGCGGCAGGCTGCCGGCGCCCATGGCCGACACGTGGTGGTGGGGCGGTGGAACCTGGCACATGCTGCAAGGGCAAGGCATGCCGCCCCAGTGCTGGAAGCCACCACTACCCCCGCTGCTGC